GGACAGAAACTGGAAGTTAGTTCCACAAGAGAGGAGCTTGATAAAAGAAAGCTCTGCCTCCCATTCTACTTTYAGAAACTCCAGGAACCACAAGTAAACCTGCAGTCTGAGAGTGAAGTGCTCTGTTAGGAAAGTATGGAACAATAAGATGTTTAATATATGATGGAGCTTGGTTGTTAAGAACTTTGTAWGTTAGGAGTAATATTTTAAATTCTATTCTGAATTTGACAGGGAGCCAGTGGAGGCTGCTCCTAAATTTAATACAAACACACCTTATATTTATTCATTGTTTAGTTGCAAGAAAGTAAGAACAATTACCATGTTTAGGGCTAGTAAAGCAGCAGTAACCATTACACTCACACACACTCACACACWCTCACGTTTCCTGTATRCTGCCCCTCTCGGTGTGATTCGTGCACTTTGTGCGTCAGCTGACAGTTTGTGTAGTGGGACATGTTGAAGAGGTGTGTGCTGCAGGATCCTGTGATATGTGACGTGATGAGCTTCCTGTGTGACTTTCCCGCTCTAAACTGTTTGCTCTCAGCTCCTGCTGCTCAGCCGGGGGTCCACAGAGATTTATCTCAGCGTTCAGATTCTTGCAATTTAGGTCTTTTTGTTTTTGTATGTGTGTGTGTGTGTGTGTGTGTGTGTGTGTGTGTGTGGGTGTGTGTGTGTGTGTGTGTGTGTGTGTGTCACAATGTGTTGACTCTTCCACGTTCTTCTCCTCTTCCCCATGCAGACACTGCGGCTACAGCAAAGCCGATCAGGAAGGCGATGAGGAGCTCTACTTCCAGTGTGAGTGTTTTATCAGCACGAACAGACTCTTTATGTTGGAGAGTCAGGTCCAGACACTGAAACGCTGCACACACACACACACACACACACACACAGTCATCAGCTCCTGCCAGTATGACCAGGTTCTGCTGCTGATTGGCTTCACTCCATCTGTGGAGATGAAGAAGTCAGGAAACTACAAACAGTGAGGGTGACAGCTGCCAGAACAGGAGCTTAGAGGCAACTTCTTCCAAATCGAACATTAGTCTGCTGGTTTTTAGCCACTGACATAGTTTCTGCTCTGCAGACAGTAAGTGATGCACCACCCCTAATGATGCCCCTGGAGATCCAGCTGCAGACAGTTTTCCCAAGTGGAGCCATAATGATGCGCGCTGTAGGCTAACTGCTGATTTGGAAACAAAGGGTCAGGGGGGGGGCACAGAGCGTATGGCTGGAGCAGAGGCAGCGGGCCCAGGTCCACTGCTGCTAAGTATCTGACAGATGCACTTCAGCAGCGCAGCAGTCCCCTCTGCTCCGGCTCCAAACACAAACACTGCCTGATGGAAGAGTCGCAGCTGCAGCACGGAGCCACACAAACCCAACAACGACCCAATTTGTCTGCCATGTAGGAGCCAGGGAGGGAGGGGGGAGAAGACGTCTCCKATCAGATCTGCTGTCATCCTGGATGGACGAAGCAATTATGGAAGCAAGTGGTGGGAAATCAGCTGCCAGCGTGGTCTCCCTGGAGCTCAGTGCATTGTTGTGTTTTTGCTGGTGGACGGGTCAGTTCTATCAGAACCTTCAGCTACAGAACCACCTTTTCACAGGATTACAGTTCTGCAACACAAATATAAATACACTGTTATAATTAGTATTACTACTGCTAACTAAATATTCACATAAAGATTAATGATAATAT